CGCATCCACGAACCTGCTCTCGCGAGCGAGATTCGAACCCAGGACCTACCAGTCTCGAGCCGAAGCCCTTAACCGATAGACCATTGAGCTAGCATCCAACGGTGTTAATGTCTAACTTCAACTGATCCACGAAGTTGAACAACCATTCACCAATTGTCTTCAGTGAATTCCTATCTCACAACAGACGTGGTTTTGAACTCCACTGGTCACTGCTTCTCACTAGAGCTCCTAGATATACTTCTCGAAGTCACTAGTGAGCATATGATTATATTAATTATAGAAGGGGTTTTGTGGAGATTTAATATTTATCATTGTTGAAAGCGTGAGTCAATAATAGGACAATAATAGTCAATAATAGGAGTCCCATAATAGGACGAAACGGCCGTCCAATGTTTCCAGGTTTTCCATGGTGGTCTAGCTTCAATTGACTCACGCTTTCAACAAAGAATAAACAATTGACAAATAGAATACGTAACCAAGCATAATAGTTAAAAGTACAAGTTGATAGTGGGAAGACAGGTGTACTGATAGTAGTAAGAATAGTAAATTACGATATCAAAAGTCTTAGCAATAATTAAACATAAGAATTAAGAGGTCAAACGTGGGTAGACTAGAATAGTAATCACAAAACATTAAAATCATTACGTAATAAGAAGTATGTAAGTAAATAGATAACGAAGAATACAAACGGAAAGAGGTAGAAAATTACGAAAACAATGATAACCAAGTTAAGATAATAAAAATAAATTTTACAAATAATAATAATGTCATTTATTAAGTTATGTCCGGCCATGGAAGGGATAGGGGGGTTACGAATTTCTTCTGTACACATAAATTGGGATGGAATGTACGAATTCCTATGGCTTCTGCTATATGAAGTAGACGGTAGCGAACTCCGTTGGGAAATGATGGAGGTATACAATAGATCACTTGAAATGATTTCAATTTATCAACAATATGACCACTATCAATTAGATGTGCCAAGATAGAACTGCGCATTGTTTTTATTTGGCCCTTTCCAAACCATGCTGGTAGATGTTCACTCATTGGTTGACATTAGAATCACTGCACGTATAATCCCCTACCCCCCTTTTTTTTGGAAATTAAAGGATATGAAAAAAATTTAGCAATTGGTGATTGGTGAATTTGTTTTTGAAAGTGTGTGCTCAAGTGCAAATGAACAAACATTTTGTCACCTGTAATAATTTTTTAATTGGCTGTAAATGGTGCAGTTTTGCAATTTGATTCGTTCAAATCGAACTACAATAAAGTGCTTTTATTGGATGTAAGAATTGACATTTTTCCATTCGATTATTATTTACAATAATGAACTATTTTCGCATTGTTCCATCTGAGATTTGTAAAAAATTTTAACTTCGATAAAAACAAAAACAAATCCATTTCATTACCCTGCTATACTCCTGTTAGTGAATGTAATTTCTTTTTATGAAGTACAAATGCAACTAAAGTTATCTGTTATCGTCGTGGCAAGAGTAGTAATAATAATGTGTAGATCACTGAAAGTTAATTTTTGAAAAAACTTACAGTTGTTATTAATAATTGATAATGGTGATTATTGAATTTCAAAAAAGGTAGTCAAATGTTTAATACACCATTAGTAAACACATTTTCATTTAAGTATTCCCATAAGTTATTTTAACACATAGTTCGCTCTTTTAATAAACGTTATATTCGTGTAAATATATGAATAAATTATGATGAAGAGAAAGTGAATATGGCATGCCGAAGTCACGCTAACCGTAAAAGATGGGTAAATGAAGCAACTTTTACGCTGTCTGAAATTAGTAAATAATGTCTGAGAAAAAAGCAAATAATCTTTATAATTCAGTTATTTTGCAAACCGTTATTCTTAATACCAAAAAGTTGATTAGTTTAGCTATGAAAAGGTTTTGAAAATGAACGCAATATCAAGGTTATCAAGATTTTTTGTAAATCCATTCAAAGCATAAAATATGCTGACCTGTAGATTATTTGTAGTTGATCACTTATTAATGATCACCGAAAAGACATGTTAGTGTACTCAGTCATGAAATACGGTAATTGTATTTGTGAGGTGGGCATAATATTTTTTGGCAGGTGATGTTAACAGCCAATGTTTTTTAAGTGCACAGCCTTTCAAAATAATGTTCTGAATTTTTTATTTACATTAGTAAATGACATTGTAAACGTTAATTAATTAGAAAGACTGGAATTATATTTCCAAATTCAACAGTTCCCTTTGTTAAACACACTAGACGAACAATGAAAAACTATATGTACATCTTCCGTCACAAAGAGATAATAATTACTCCTCTTATACTGTCAAACACTAAATCGCTGAATGTTGAAAAAATAACCTTTTTTGACAAGCATATGTGTAATATAGGTTGAATGAAGTGTCAATGAACAAGCCTATGTCTAGTGAAATAAATTTCTATTTCAATAATATGACTTAATGTGGAATAAGGTCAATTGTATCAAGTAACCATTATGTATTTAAAATATCGTATTCTCAATCTGTTAAGTTAAACTGTACATTTATTTATCAGACATCTAAATGACATTCATCACTGTATCGAATTTTTGCAATGCAGTGATAAATCTCATAAGAAAAATTATTATTACATTTCGTATGTTCCATTATTATTATGATTATTATTATTATTATTATGATTATTATTAATGACTTGTTAGATATGTAAGTCTTCATTATATGACGTTGTTTTCTGTACGGAATCGTTTACTGAAACCTTAAATTTGAAAAACCTTAAAAGCTGTTGACAAAATTATAAAGTGATCGATAATCACTTTATTAATCTAGAAAAAGTTATTTAACATCTTCATTACTATGGAATTGTGATGAATGATCAGTGTATGTTCACTTGACCTTAGTAATACAAATTATCTTGTTGTACTAATGAACTGATCTCAGTACAATCGTCTACCTTAGCTAAGTGAAAAGAGATTGGAATGATCGTACACACCTTTGCATAAACTTTTGTTCGACAGATTAATGTTCATTATATGACGTTGTTTTCTGTACGGAATCGTTCACTGAAACCGTAAATTTGAAAAACCTGGAAAGCTGTTGGCATGGTAATAAAGTGAGCGATGATAATTATTAATCTACAGCTTAATTACTATGGAATTGTGATGACCGATCAGTGTCTGTTCACTTGACCTTAGCAATAGAAAAGATCTTGTTGTACTAGTGAACTGATCTTACTACATTTCTCTACTGTACCTAGTAACCAAATCATATGAATGTGAAATGAATTATTGATGGTTTCATGACTCCTCCTTAAAATGGAAACAAGAAATTCAAACAAAATTTAAATCAAATTGTGGGTGGCCCTGAAAAGGGCCTTTACTCGGTCTCTACACAGCTCCTTCGGTCCTGATCGATGACTCCACTATGAGTCCGTGACAGCGCGGCACATGGGACAGTTGAACCCAGGTGATACTTCTGTTGGGTCGTAGGCACAGAACGAATGAAACATAGCGTTGCATGGACAAAAAATCCAAGCACTTCCATCACCTAGTTCACTGGGCGGCTGACATAGATGGCAAATATCACACAGTCGGTCATTGTGCGCACGTTCGTCTTCTTCATTGTCTCGGTCCGTGAACTCTTCTGAGTTCATAGATATTACTTCCATCTCGTCATCATTTAAGGTAGCATCCAAATCTACGTTCTGTTGACGGTTGGTGCCTGTGGTATTTCGGACGACGGGCATTGTGATGGTAGTAGGTATTCCATAGTTAAGTAACTGATGAGAATAGTTAAGGACAGCGGTAAGCTGTTCAGCGGACATACGTTGTGAATCGATGTTAGGACGCTTGTCTGCCCGACTTGTACCTGTAACTCATTGTCAATGGTTACTGCGGTTACGAAGCTGTTGGAATGCAGCCATCTGTCACCAATGCTTTCTCTGTGAACTTCGACATTATCGAGCGAACAATATGCCAAGATGTGACGACATACGACTCTGTGTTGTACATAAAAGAAACAGGAAAAACTAATGGGATTTTTGGAGACTGTGTAAGTTCCTGCAGTATCAACGGCCGTGAAAAACTCCCCCGACAATACGTAGTCAGTAACAGGAATGCGCATGTGCCGCTTAAGCAGTTTACATGCAGCAGGTGTAAGTGTTTCCTGAAGACGACGTAGTTGAGGCTCGCGACCCAGCACAGCCCTGCTACGGCATTCAGTGGAGTACTTTTGAACTCGAGCTTCTATCCAATATCCAGTGCGAAGCAGAACACTAAATATCGATCTGAACACGGATGTTTTTCTGTTCAGCTTATGCAACTTTAAAATTCGATGGGTCGTCTCAACGAAATTTGTACTGCTTTGATCTAGAAGCATTTCAGCTGGTCTAAAAGCGTTCGACCACTTGTGCTTTTTGGACAATAACTGATCTCTCAAATATTGGTAGAAATTCCCGTCTGCTGCTTCGATAAATGACACATACCGTTGGAAGCTACAATACATTGTAAAGCATATTTCGATTTACCTTTCCACATTTCTTGTTAGCATAAGACGGTAGAACATTTGAAGAAGATCAGATCGTAGCCTCTACGAATACGATGAATGGGTTATTTGTAAAGAAAGGAAAGCTTACCCTCTTGATGACATTTCGAAGAAGGTGCACGCGGCACAAAAGGTGGTGTGAATTGGGATACACCTGCGTTATGGCAGCAGCTATAGCAGGTGAATCGTCGGTAACAATACCGATAACCTCTCTATTGTTACTCATTTGGCGGAAGAACGAGAGGAAACTGGACAGCAAAGTTGATGTTTCGCGACTTACAAATGCAATACAAACAGGTATTGCCATGAAATTCATGTCCAAAGCCACCACGTGATAAAGAAACATGTTTTCATTATTGGTTTTGTATGTCCCATCAAAACCAACAACATCTAAAAACCTGTTACACAGATTGATCTGGTCTGCTGTAGCGAAGAAGAAGTACAACAGACTATGATCTGCATCCAATTGATAATCACAAAGGCCACCAAGTGACGTGATGTGATTTTTCAACTTACCGTAATCACCTACAGTTAATAGTATAAATATGCACATTGCTTACCAGGAAGGTTGGCCTGTGAGAACACTTTGTAACGCATATTGAAAACATCTTGAGCTGTAAGACGTTTCCCATATGATTGGTAAGCGTAGTGTATCACATTGAATGCTGATGTTCCAGATATCAGCAGTGGCTTCACTGATTCAAATTCCGCTCCCGTTAATCGGCGCATCCATGTGTTACAGTCGTACCTCAGGGAATTGCACTCGTGATTGTGATGCACATTCCCACGAACAACAGTCCAATAACCTTCAAGAAACTTACAAAAGATGAAGGCCGGACATTGTGTGTCCATTGAAGTCCTCAATGAACAATATAATAACACTAATCATTTTACCTCCTTCGTCTAATCGGCTGCGAAGAAACGCTTGGTGTTTTATAGCTCTTTCTCCAACATACAAATTTAATATACGGCTTCCGATCTCCATGGAAATTAGAATCTCTCACCGCATAATGGCAGTACGTTGCTATTTCATAAGTTCTAATGGCGCTCTTTAACGCTTCCAGTGATGGAAACGCTACCAGATACAATGTATTCAAAAATACATTTTCCGTTTCTGTGACTACGTGAGGAACAACAGAGCCTCTAATTTGCACGTTACTGACGTCCATATTGTGAAGAAAATTATCTATATCGATAAGTACAGAGCTTTTATACGAATTTCAAGAATTACATAACCAATTACAACGCATTTACAACTAGGAATTTCATTGGACGAAAGGGATTGAAAAAAATTGGAAAATGGGATGAAAATTTTTTGATTAAGGGGGACAAAAAAAAATTATTAAAAAAAAATTGAAGTGATCCTAATGTTATTCTCACTCATTCGTTGGTTAAGTTGCCTAGTAGTACGCCCGATATAGCTATCTCCACAGGAGCAGCTGAACTTATTAATGCACATGGAGGAGGTCAACTCAGGTAACTTATCCTTCGTTTGAGTAAACATCACTGGTCGACTCGAGAAAGTCAATGCGAGATAGGCTGCGTAGAAAGTTTTACTGATTACTTTTGTTAACCTATCTTTCAGAGTTTCACTAGCTACATCCCCGTTGAATGGTAATTTCATGCATAGAGGTTTCTTACGAACAGTTGAAATCTCCAACTTCTTCCCTGTATCATACATATACTTTTTAATGAACGCAGAAGGGTAGCCGATCTCAGTCAGTGAGTTATAGATAAATTGCAGTTCCTGAGTTAAAGTATCAACAGAACAGATCTTATTTGCTCTACTAGTGAGGCATCTAACCAAGTTTCTCTTATATTGGATAGGTGTAAAGCTATAGAAGTGAATGTATTGGCAGGTAGAGGGTCTTTTTCTATACACGCTTCTACTTAACGAGCCATCACTTCGCCTGCTTAGTGTAATGTCAAGGAAATTCAGCTTCATGTCACACTCGCCTTCACCAGTGAAGCTAATCGCTGGATGTACACTGTTGAACTGTTCTAGTAGTTCATCCTTACTGGTGTTCTGATCCACGACAATGAATGTATCGTCGATGTAGAGGTAGTATAGATCGAGCTTCTTAATAGCCTCCTTAAGTGGGTCATTTTCTAGCTTAGCTAAGAAGAGATCAGCGAGAATCGGGCCTAAAGGTGAGTCCATGGCTATTCCGTCTATTTCTCTATAATAGGAATTGTTGAAGACACAATGAACATTCATTGCACATCTTTAAAGCAGTTCTTTCAGACAATCTTCCGGCAAGCCAATGTTGATTTGTTTTTCTGTTATTTGCTCGCATATGAACTCAATAGTCTCCATAAGTGGTACGTCAGTAAACAAGGATACTACATCTAGTGAGAACATTTTTTTCATACTAACATTCACATTTTCCACTTTGGAAGTGAAGTCGAATACATCTTTTACACTAATACTAACAATTGATTTGTGCAAGGGTTCTAAGATACGTACTAGCCACTTTGCAATTTTGTGATAAGGAGAATTGAACATATCTAGAACTGGGCACAGTGGAAGACCTGGTTTATGAACTTTGGGTAAACCATATAGTCGTGGCGTATAAGATCCAGTCGTTTAATAGAATCATGACTCTCTTGTGTAATTATTCCCTTATTCTTTAAATCCTTAAGAGAATTAGTCAATTGGTTTTCCACTTTTTATTGATATCGTAATGACTGGTGACTTTTTGAAATTTGCTGGGATCATTAAGCATTGTTTCCATTTTTACAACGTAGTCCTTTTTGTTCATCAGCACTATGCCTCCTCCTTTATCAGGTTTGCTTATAATCAAGGTTTCCTCATTTCTTAGTTTAGTTAAAGAGTCTCGGTGTTGCTTGGTAAGTAGGCGGTTTTGTTATTGTAATTTACTATTCTCACTACTATCAGTACACCTGTCTTCCCACTATCAAGTTGTACTTTTAACTATTATTATGCTTGGTTACGTATTCTATTTCATTGTGATTATTGACTCAAATAGCATTGATTGGTCTAACATTTTCATATAAATATTCATGTATATTAGAGTAAAGCCTGATGACGATCTAATTGAAAACAATTGTTCGCTTACATATGTTGTTCTAAGAATACTATTGTCACAAAAATCTTATTTACGTTTTCCGTAAGTTTTACCGTCAGTGGATTGGAAAGACCAACGATGCAAATTCATCCAAATTAATGTGGTAAATCTATCTTCTTAAAATCTTATAATGACGTCAATTAACATTTTAAAGATCCTCATATTGTTCTTGGTTCGGGTTGATTTGCAAGTTACATACATATACATAGAGAAAATTGAGTATTCCGTATGTTTAACACCATTTTTACTCTAAGTTTAAAGAAAATAATTTCCGAATTTGTTTCTAAATATTTTATTTGTTATACAAAGTTATTTCTGGTTCTTGTTTTGTTCACGTTATGAGATGAAAGCAAATCATTTTTTAAACTTCACGCAAATATTCAGAAGTCATTTTCTCGACTACAATTGGCTTTTCTCTATATTGTACTTTACTGTGTTGGATTTTATCAATTACTTGGTTTATTTGAAGAACTGGAATCTTGTTCACTTTTGATAAGTTAATTTTGTCATTATAGAATATCGAGATGTGTTACTGATAATTCATTTACAGTTCGTTTAATGTCAATATGTTATATTCTGACAGTTTAAAGCCTCAAACATAAAACCACTTATCTAAAATGAAAGATGTTCACGATTACTAGAATACTAACCACTGTAGTTCGCGTGGCAAGCTCAGCTAAACTCATAAATACTACAAAGTAGTATCTAGTCTATAAACATTATCTTTCAACCATTGCACACAAAGTAAAAAATGTCAGTTTGTAATTTTTGAATTTATATTCAGTGCTCTTCAAACCGTTATGTTAACGAAAAGATAAATGGTGGCTAACAGTGGAATCCAGGACGTACGTTTTATCCTGTCTGGGCTTCATCAGCCGAATGCACCTACATTCCAGATTTGACGTTCACTCCGCGACTCAAACGTTTTACTTCTTAAACCAACTATAAATGACTAGATACATCTAAACAATTACTCAACAAAAGCATTACTATACAATAATTTAATAACAATGATGATAATAACCCATTAAAACGAACATTTATATCAGTTTTCCAAAACAAATGATGAATTATCACTATGATGAAAAAACAAATTTATTGATTATTTAACTAAAAAAACTTTCTACTTTCTATTTCCTACATGGACAACTAATCTCACATTTAATATTACAACATATAATTTAGAGAGAAACAATCTTTCCCTTTCTTAAAATAGATATCAATTATCACTGTATTTGATTGTTTGATGACAATCTAATTGATTACCTAGTGAAATTTCTTCCTCTTTTTTACTGCTGAATGAGAAAACTACTTCACAAAGTTATTTTTATTGAAGTAGATAAATGGTTAGAAACACTAGAAAAAGTTAGCAGAGATGGATAGTGGCTAGCAGTGGAATCCAGATTCAAACAAACAATACTAGTAAAAGGTTATTCAGTAATCGAAACAGTAATCATAGTTGTACGATCTAATTCCAAACATTAAAAAGATAAGTAATAAACAGAGAGGAGTTTTGTAGATATTTAATAATGGAATTCGCGAATCAATTGAAGCTAGACCACCACAGAAAACTCGGAGGCACTGGACAATCGTTTCGTTCTAGTATGGGATCTTCAGCAATGCGCATCCACAAACCCACCTCGAGAGATTCGAACCCAGGACTCATCGGTTGGTGTATTAAATCTATTCAAAGTAACTAACAAAAACAGTTTTCAACTTGTAATCTGTGATACAAAGTTCATTAGATCAGCCACCTAGAAATTAACTAATATACAAATAAATAAATCATGTGAACCTTTATTTCCCACGAACAAGATAAATATCATGATATAATCATGTTTATTATAAATTCATTCTCTTTTCAAACTGTCCACAGACGTTTGATCTAATTAGGTAAATTTTATGTAGACAACTATGGATTGAATTCCACTGAATCGTTGGAATTCTAATAATTGAACTAGTTAGTAGACACATCAATTTGAACCAGACAGATGAAGACAATGAAACTTATGAGAATGAATTATTGCAATCATGGCTGCCTCAACAAACTGATTGAGAACTTGTGGAAACATTAAAAACCTCACCTATATGTGAAGTAACTCCGCCTGTAGCTCTTCTAGAGTTACTGCCGGTCCCAAGCCCACACAAAGGAGGAGGGTTGGGCATGGGGTTAGCGACCCCATCCCGTAGAAAATCAACTCGCTAAAAAAACGCTAACCAGAAAAAATAATTCAAACCATTTAAACTCTGCCCTGGGAGTTGAAGGAATAATGACGTCTCATGATGAAAGCCGAAATTCTTCGGAAGTCACGAGACCGATGCACCTTCTAACAACCAGAGCAACACTCTTTATAGGTACATGGAACGTCCGGACAATGTGGGAGACAGGAAAGACCAGCCAAATAGCAATGGAAATGAGGAGATACAACTTGGCAGTACTCGGAATCAGCGAAACCCATTGGACACAAACTGGACAACAAAGGCTAGGTACAGGAGAGATGCTGCTGTACTCCGGTCACGAAGGGGAAAATGCTCCACACACTCAGGAAGTTGCTCTAATGCTGTCCAAAGAAGCACGAAATGCACTTGTGGGATGGGAATCTCATGGACCCAGGATAATCAAAGCATCATTCAGAACAAAGAAGCAAGGGATCACAATGAACGTTATCCAATGTTATGCATCCACCAATGATAGCAACGACGATGATAAAGATCAGTTCTATGAAAGGCTGCAATCAATTGTAGCAAAGTGTTCACGAAAGGACCTCACCATCCTGATGGGAGATCTAAATGCTAAAGTTGGAATGGACAACACAGGATATGAAGATATAATCGGACGACACAGACTAGGAGAAAGAAATGAAAATGGGGAGAGACTTGCAAACCTATGTGCATTCAACAAATTGGTTATAGGCGGCACAATATTCCCACACAAACGCATACACAAAGCTACATGGATCTCACCGGACCATACCACAGAGAACCAGATAGATCACATCTGCATCAACAAAAAATTCCGAAGATCAATGGAAGATGTAAGAACCCGGAGAGGAGCTGACATAGCTTCAGATCACCACCTGGTTGTGGTCAAGATGAGACTGAAGCTTAAGAAAGACTGGACAACTGGACAAACAGCACTACAAAGGTTTAATATAGCCTTCCTTCGAGATGCTGACAAGCTCCAAGAATTCAAGATAACTCTCAACAATAGGT